ACAGAGCTTACTAAGACTTTTATTATATGTTAAATATATGCTGTTTATATTTTTAAAAAATCAAGGTTTCTGTAAAGTACATATACTGTATACTCAAATTATGCTAAATTTTATGCTACGTAGCAAATCTAAATTCTGCTGCTACTGTAGCATAATTATGCTAACTTATGCTAGTAGCATAATTCTGGAATAATAGAGATCGATTAATAATATTAACGCGTCACACTTGTCAACAACATCCAAGATGGTTTGCTAAAACATAATAGAAGATTAGAGAAAAGAGAACTCTACTAAACAATGAAGGAAAGTACTACTATTGTTGAAGAAAATGATAAATTAGCAAACACGAATTTTCTGTCGATATTTCGGTGTAGTGAAGGAAGATAAAGCTATATGTCTTTTATCTGATTAATTAATTTTTTCATGTTATTAATATAATTTATATTATATACAAAAAAAAAACATGAAATATAAATAGCTAACTATTGTTTTTCCTTGCACTACCTTATCTTTTAACAGCCCATGGTTATACCAATTCTGCAATTATATCTATTTTATATCATGTAGATTATCGCGTTTCATCTAATCGTCTTTTTAGTGAAATATCACGCAATACATCTAGGTGTTTAGAATTTCATACAACGATAATTTAATGGACCCTGCCTCTGAAGAATAGATTATCGTAAACTGCCCCATTACTAGACCCGCAGTTTTTTTAAATATCTAGGTTGCCCATTATAAATGAAAAATATGCATGCTTTTTAAAATTTTCCTAATGGCACAAATTATTGTACCATTAGGAAAATTTTAAAAAGCATTATATTTTTCATTTATAATGGGCAGCCTAGATTAGGGATTGGAATCGGTTTAGTAGACTACTATAGTCGAATAAACAAAATATATAGCTTACTATAAAAATTTTTTAGTCGACTAAACCGATTCCATTCCTTAGGTACAAACTCCTGAACTCACCACCATGTACTAGACCAGTTACTAGACCCGGTTAATTTTTTATATCGATTTGTTAAATCTACACGTGATAGTTGGCCAATCAAATCGCCGAATTTCACTTGTCATTTTCAAAAAAACTATTCTTACCAAACACAATTTATCTGTTATTACAAGCAAATAAGAACAATTGAAATAAATGTGTTCTTGAACTAATTAATGAAAAATTAGGCGATTCTTAAGACGACTGAAGAGGTTTCGGGACTTATGATAAATTAGACTTCAAAAACTAAAAAAATTCACTTTTACCGAAATCTCTGGTGACAGCAATAAATCATCTTGCTCTCCAGAAATTACATTTGGTAGAAATAGCGAAGTAATTCCGATAGACGGTTCATTTTTCGAATAACGGAATCCTTCGGATTCTAAGAAACGCCTAGACTTTCGAAATTGTCCAATTAAACATCAAGATCAGGTGTAACCAAAAAATAATGATAAAAACAAAAAAAATCGTTCGTTAACTTTAAATTTTATCTATGATCACCTGCATACTAACAAAAAATTTTTCCTGTGAAATTTGGTACAGCTATTAGCTCTAATATAATAATGAAAACCTAATCCTGAAATCTTAATCTCACAGTGCTATTTTTTTTAGCGAAATTTTCTAGACCGGTAACACTAAGGATTTACACTTTCGACTTTCGGTTTCATACGATGAATTTACCGAAAGTAATTCGTAGTAGTACTAAAACATTTTCTGGGTCAACTTTGTCCTGGAATGACTATTTTATGTTAAGACGGCGACGGAGAATTGCTGAGCGCGTTATTACAATTCCGACCACGCTGGGGGGCTTCGGTTTGAGTCTTGCATACGTTGCTACAAGAGAATTCGATCCAACGCCAATATTTGGACAAGAACCTATCCTTATATATGGCCTCGGCACTTTAGTATGTGGCTTGTCAGGTTTATTAATTGGACCAATTCTTGGAAGTTCTCTTTGGAAGATATTCCATCATGAAGAAGTAAAATTAATGGAACAGGTAAAATCGGATATATAAGATTAATAATATTTGACATCATTTGAAAATTGTTCATTTATCATATAATCGTTTAAATATTGTTTAGCGAGATCGCGAATTTTATGAGCATGTAAAAAAGAATAGGGCTGATCCATCATTACACACGCTTCGTAATCCAGCACCTGATTATTATGGTGAAAAAATTAAATCAGTAGCGGATTATCGCAAATGGTTAAGAAAACAACGAGAAATAGTAAGGAAGGGAACATTCCACATTGGAGAGGAGTCAATATAATCTATGCATTGATCTTTTGAAAAAGTTGTAGGATTACACACAAACTTTTCGAGATAAGATAGTACCATTCTAATAATCTTTATAATATCGAAAATTCTTACGAAGTTGTAAAGTAAAAAAAAAAAAAAAAAAGAAGAGAAATTAAGCATAGACATATCCAAGAATGGAAATTAATATATAAACTCGAAATTTACACGACTTCTCGCGTATTTGTATGAGTTAATGCGCGTGAATGCGCCAGTTTATTCATGCATTAAAGTTTTCTAATTAAAATTAATATTAATTACGCGAAAAATTTTAAGTGCAGGGCGCGTTATAGAAATCAATGACTAAAATAAAACAAATATAGTAAAATTCAGTTTCATGCAACACGAAATCATTTCCTTATAGCGACTGTATTATTTTAGATTCAATCCTCATATTTATCTTAGTCAATTTGTTCCTGTAAGAACTGTAGTAACAAAAGTTACCATCGTAATAGATATAATAGATATGTACTAAAACATATATTGAAAGTGATTTCTAAATTGTAGGCCATGTTTGGCCCAAGGGTACTGTACATACGGATTATATATATATATATATATATATATATATATATATATATTATATTATCTTTCTAGATCTCTAAATGCATTTAGAGTCAATTACAGAATTAACAGACTTCATACGGAATGCAGACTGAGTAACACAATAATTGTCCAATGAAATTACAGAATTAATTAATATATTTCTCTAGCCATTTATGTTCGGCATGTAAAATAAAAAATTCTTATTCATAATGGAGCCTAACGAAAGACTTGATGACATGCCTTTGACAGATAAAGATAAATTTTCTAAAGGTCTAATGACTCTTTTAACACCTGTTATTGAAGAAATGGATTCTAGGATTGTTGCAGTCAAAGCAAGTCAATTAGAACTAAATAAAGAAATCGAAAGACTATTAGCAGGTATGTCTAAAATCTTATTTCTAAACACATTCAATATTGGTTAAATATTATATATACTGTATAATTAAATGTCTCCTGGCGATAGAACTTCAATTATTCGTTGATGCAACTGAACAACCTTCAATTCAACCTTCAATTCAAAAATTAATTTCTGCTACAAAGAAACTAGCAACAACAAATGTAACCTTAAAGACTGTTCATGATAGAGTCGAAAAAATGTATGCTCAACTAGGTAAAAGTAAAGAAACGGCGACTTAGATTAGATGTGGGCTGATCTTTGCTTATAGGGATAAGGTTGTTAACTTAATTATTGTATGCACGAATTATAGATTTTATACTAATATGATCTGTTCAAATTATTAATTGTTTGTATAATCAATATATCAAAAAATGTTTAATGTTTTAAATGTATATATACATTCATTTATGCCAAATGTTATTCATACAAAAATAATATAACAACTTTCTATGAGGTACAATCAAAAAAAAAAAAAAAGACATGCATGTACATGAACAAATTAATAAATATGAAGTGATTGATATATAAATTTCCAAAACTTTGCCCCAATGGTTCTTAAAATTTCTACCATCCATATTCATTTGTATATTCCTTTGGCTTGTGCTTTGCCAGCTTTTGCTTACGGGATTGAAACGTGTTATCATCATGATAAGTGGTACGGTTCGATCCCGATGACGGAGGTGTATATGCACTGGGTGATGAAGACGAGAAAGAATTGGATCGTTGCCTGGAATGATTGCCTGCTGGACGTGTTGAATTTTTTTGTTCTTCCGCTAATTTCCTTGCTAATTCTTCATCCATCTTTTCTTGCTTTAATTTTTGAGCTTTATCTGCTTCGGTCAATTCCTTTATAATTCGTTCATTTTGCTTTTCACTCTTTTTCTTCTCTCTTTCTCGTTTCTGCTTCTCCTTATTTTCTAACTTTTTTAGTTCTTCTTTCAATTCTCCTTTTGATTCCTCTCCCAAAATAAATTCATTTTTTTCCTTAGAAATACTATCATCTGATTTATCCAAAAATGATAATATAGACATTAATAAAACGTATTCAAGTCCACGTCGATCTTGAATATTAATACGAGTCATGTTATCACTCATAATATTCACTATTCCACCTTTTTTGTTTTTGGGTTGATATAGTGCGATGCATATGTTTGGTTCTTCGCCAGATTGCACAATTTTACACTCTAAATCTTTGGAAAATGCTTTCTTTTTCCAGACAAATTTTTCATTTTCCCATCTAAATTTCTGTTCAAAACTAAATATTCCTGAATCTTTTAATTCGACACTATCATCAGGCTGTTATTAATTGAAAGATAGCTCAATATTAAATTAATTCAAATAAATAAATTTTCAATTAAATGTACCTGATATAATAAAATTTTTTTTAGTTTCGCTTTTGAACTATCCCCTTGTATTTCAGCCAGAAGTAATTCAGTTATTGGGTCGATTAATTTTGCACAGTAAGCACCCGGAACCTATTACGTGCATTAGAAGGTATTCATGTCAAAAAAGTGTAATAGCTTTACATAACAACTCATAACAGCTATATATATAGGTAAAAAATGTGAACTTACTTTCTGTCTAAACTTTTTATGCGTCACCTCATTAGTTGCCAAATGTTTAATTTCTACTACACCTTTAGTTTCTTTCTTAACAAACTCATACTTGTTTTGATTATCATTTTGCATGTTGTTAAGTTATTTATCATGAATTCCGACTACGTAGTAAAACGAAAACGTCTATCATTTAAAGAAATGGTTAAATTTTTTATACAAGTACCTATTATTAGGCATTCATTTACATGGATTTAGCCAATCACATTGCACGACAAGTATGAAGACATTCATATGATTGGTTAATTTTTGTGGATCTACTCGTGATTTCCCACCAATCAAATACATAATTTTAAATTAATACCACAGTAATAGAAAACGAAAGAAACTTCGTATAAACAAGCTTACAAACATAAATACACACGAAAGGATTTATTATTTATATGTAGACCGACAATTATAACCATTTTCCAGATAACTATTTCCTCAACAACCATTTTCCGACATGACCATTTCCCGGGGAAATGATTGTCGGTGAAATGGTTGTCGGGAAAATGGTTATGTCGGGGAAATAATTGTCGAGAAAATAGTTGTCGGGTAAATGCTAAAATGTCGGTAAACCATTGTATAAATTAAAACTTTAACTATTAATCTACAGTTGACAAAATTAAACACACTACAAAAACCAACCAAATTTAAATATTAAGCTCGGATTTTCTCTGCTAAAGAGCTTGAATCTGTTCAAATTAAACAGAGATAAGATTTATTTTGCATACTAAATGTATTTATTTAATAGACCATTTGACCAATTTGACCGGACCAGTTTGGCCAATGAATTTTTGGTCGACCAATGATTTGACTAACCTTGATTATACGTGATGGGACTTTTGAGTTTTCAGTTAATAGTAAAAATATTATTAATTGTTAGGCGACTTGAAATTAAAACCTCGTTTAACGTTATTTTTTTAAAAAATTTGCATGGGGGGGAGGGGAAAAATTAA